TATAGGTTAAAACTAATTGCAACGTAAGTTACAACATTAAAAGTTGCAACATATTAATTACAGTTCCCATCTTTAATGACGTCATTTCGATCATTTCGACTTTTTATTTCGACTTTGACCTTCAAAGTTGAAACATTTCGACTTTTGGGGTTTTCATTTCGACTTCATGTATAGTCATTACATGTATCAATGCATGCATTATTATCACATTTTAAGATCAACTGATGATCATTTACGAAAAAATTATTTTATTAATAAAACGTCACGTGACTACTAGTAGAAAAAAAGACTGGCTAGTTTTAGATAGATGAGAAATTGCATAATATTATATATAATATTATATATGGGAGACGATCAGTAGAAAAGGGGAAAATCTAAATTTTGGTCAAAATTTATATTATTAGACCACTTGACTAAGTGCACAAATTTGGCTTAATAATAAAAATTTTGGATTTCCCCCTTTTCTACTGATTGCCTCCCATATATATGTATATCTTTTTCTTGATGTAAATATGTTTAAATTATTATATTAATTAAAAGAAAATAAAAAAAAAATCCCTGACAAGAATGAAGTATATCTAAATAATACAGAATAAACTGTAAATTTTTATAATATATAAATAATCTAAAATTTCTTAAAACAAAAACAAAAATGCTTTAGATATATGCTTCACTTTCTTGGCCTTGTTTTTCATTTTTAATATTTTTATAAATTTTATTTCTACAAATTCCTTCCCATTCCTCTTTATAAGCAGTTATTTGAGTTACAGAAAGATCATTCGTATTTTTATTTACAATATTAATAAATGTTGAAGAAAATTTAAGTTTCGCTGTGTAAGATTTTACATTCACCGTAACTGCATATATTCTTGAATTTAGTGATGTTGAAGGTAAATAATATCCAGAGTAATATTCTAAGTCCCCGTATGTAAAAGTTGATTCAACCGATCCATTTATGGCTTTGGATATATCATAATCGAATTTATTACATATCTTTCCAACTCCAAATTCTTTTATTTTATCATTCATAAAGGAAACGGCGAATTCAATCAAACGGTTGATAATTTTTTCATCTTTCTCTTTTGTATTTTCTAATTCGGTATATTTAACACAGGGACAGTATTCTGTTGGAATTCCAAGTTTAGAACATGTTCTATGTTTATCTAATGGATAAAATAGTACATCTCCATAAGTTTGAGCTTGAGTTAAAGTGTAATCTTCAAAGAAATTTTCGGATTATTTTAATGATTGTGCAACATCGACTTGATTTGAATCATTTGAACTTTTTCCGAAAGCCATGTAAGCAAAGTCATGTGAAGGTCTGCATGTGTCGTTAAAACATTTTGATTTGCTTCCATGTTTTCATTATAAACCGTTGAAATATCTTTTGGAAGAACCATGTGTAATAAAGGTTGTTTATGATGTAAATATCCTTCATATGATGCGTACTCAAATCCATAATGAATGCCATGATCTGATAATACTATAACAATACTATTAAAAGAAAAAAAATAATGATTACATGTATATATATATATATATATATATAAAATTAAAGCTTTACCTATTTTCATCCAATAATGGTTGTTGATTTCCTTTACCGATTAATAATTTTGTTAACAAATTTACCATAGATTTATCCAAACCAATTAAATTAAGATCAGCATTATGTGTATCCATTAAAGTTATAGTGGCCAATCTTTTATGGCGTTCCCCACTTTCGTTAGTATCGTTATAAATATTTCAAGATAATCGAATTGTACATCATATGCCGTTCTTTCTCCCATACAAAATGGTGAAGAAACTATCATTCCTTCATTATTAAATTTATCATACTTTTCATCTTGTCCATTGGTTAATTTGCATGTTCTTCCAAATTCCCCATCATGATAAAACGCATAATTTTCGCAAATTGATACATGTGGAAATTGATGATTTGCTGGCAATTTATCTTCTCTTGTCGCTTTATAATAAGAAGTAATGGCACCATCAGCATATCCTCGATAAGGAAATGCCCACCAACCACCACATTCTCCATCTGTATGCATTGTGACAAATCCTTGACTTTCGTAAACATCCCAAAGCCAAGTAGCTTTAGCTTTGTTACCATTTGACCAAAGATAATCTTTTGATTGACCGGAATAAATAAATGCTTTATTCGGTGGTGAATTTTGTCCAAGTACGTTGTATCGATTGAAAGAATGTGATTTATGAGTTCCTTTGGTTCGATTTGACATATCTTTCAAAAACTCTAAAGTTCTTGGAAATTCCTCATTAAAATGTTCTCTGGACACCGCGTCAAGTAAGATTAGTACTACATCATTAACCAATGGTTTTTGACCTTTGAGAACACTCTTAAAGGGTAAATTAAATGATCGAGATTTATTATCATCCGATTTAAATGGTTCTCGAGTTAAAAAATTTGATATGGTTCCACATTTAATCATAATATATTCTTCTTCAAATTTTAAAAGACCATCTTTCTTTTGATCCCAATCTAAAAATTTTTTTCCACTTCTCATACTTGGAAAATGATATTGATAAACCGAATCACATTCTACATCAATCTTTTGTTTTCCGTTCAAAGGACCGTGTATGATTTTTGCAATTGTCCTTCCCGGAATGACATCGATTGGATATTGTTCTTGTGTAATTGGTTTCCATGGTGGTAAAATACATGTTCCGTCACCATCAATCATTCTTTCCATAAATCTAAAGGAAGTTTTTAATATTATTAAAGCAATTGATATTATAAAAAAATTTAAAATAATTATTAAAATGCATAATTTTTTTGGACTTTTTATGAATGCTCTTTTTAATTGGGATTTTGGTATAGAATCATTTGATGTCACGGGAATATATTTCCATGAAGGACCGCGAAACCATAGTTGAACATTATTGATAAAACGTGAGGTTTTATTCATTTCAAAAAAAAAAAATATAAAAAAAAGTATTAAAAAAGATTTCATTTATATGAGGCTGTTGAACATTTGTACCACTAACCACATAGTAGATTATTTATTAATTTAACCAATAAAAAACGGAACACTTCTGATCTACGCTAAGAAAATTATAAAAAAAATGTCGTTCGTCGGTTTAATACATTTTTTTTTAAAAAAAAGAGCGCGTGTAGAAAAGAGATGAACAAAAATTCGTTTATTGATTTTGCAATTACATTACAGATCATATGATTTATTACTTCATATATGTATATCTGAAATGTATATGTTACACATCAGCTGTCTATAAGTTAATAAAATGATTTAAATTTAATGTCGTATGATTGATAAGTATGCCTCCAAAATCCAAAAATAAAATAAAGAAATCGGAACCTTCAACTTCAAAGAAATGTAAACAAGATTCTCGTCATCAGGTTCATACTAACATACCATCCAATTCTATTACTTTAAAACTGCCCCTAAATTGGCCATCATTATCTATAAAATCTAATTTACAACTTGAGACAATTTATCAAAATCATATAGTAATAATACCATCATTTTTTACATCAAGAGAGTGTACCAATTTGATAAATTTTATTAATAAAACCATCCCATTAGAATCAGCAAATCCATCATTACTACCAAAAAAAGGTGAAGCGTATAGAGATAATGATAGGTTTTCGATAGTAGATATTAAATTCTCGGAAGTTTTATATAATTCAGGATTAAATTTATTGGTATCAAATTGGCATTCTACTTTAACTAAAAAACCTGCTACAGGATTAAATCCAAATATTAGAATTTACAAGTATAGTTTAGGACAAAAATTTGGTCAACATTATGATGATTCTGTACAAGATTGTTTAAAAAGGTTAAGTGAATGGACTTTGTTAATTTATTTAAATGGTGGTGATAATGAGAATGAAATACCTCTATATGGAGGAGAGACCGTCTTTTATAGGAAAAAAGAAGAAATTGTAATAAAACCTGAAAGAGGAATGGCTTTATTACATAAACATGGACATGATTGTCTATTACACGTAAGTTGTGGATTTTTTTTTTTTTTGAGCGAAAATCGATCTTTTTTATAAATAATAATACACTTTATTTATTTCATCACAAAAGGAAGCAAAAGTGATCAAAAGAGGTTTTAAATATGTGTTGAGAAGTGATTTAATGTTTGCCTAAATAGAAATTTATATACATAATTTATCTACCTATCAATAAATTTGACATCATTAGAAATTCCATTATTTAATCAATACTTTTAATATAATTTTGTTGTTAATAATTAAGCAGCACTTCAAGTGAAAAAATTCATCGACAATTTAATACTTGTAGATTTAACAACTAAACAAGCAACTTGTCAAGTGATCTATATATTTTGGGACGTTAATGTGCCTAATTCAGTAACAATACAATACATTTATTAAAAATAAAAGGAACCTTCCAAAATTGGGTAAATACAAAATTAAATTATAAAGCAAGAGAACCCATAGGATCCCAAGCAGGTAATACTAGGGGACTTTGATCCAATACTTCAACTAATTCTTTAGGTGTATCTTTCTTTTCCAAGACAATTTGATAAACCCAATCAGAAAACCAATCATCAGTCATAACGAAATAACCTTTGTCACCGATAGCATCTCCCCAAGAATTTTCAACTCTCCAACGAACAGGTAAATCATTTTCAAGATGAACACCTTTTTATAAAAATTATAGAAATGATAATGTTTTACGAAAGGTAAATCGCGTGTAATAATAATAATAAAAAAAATTAATAATAATTCATCATCTTTCGCTTACCAGTTAAAACCATGGCATGAGTCATTAAGCTTTGTCCATATTGTAATCTTTGTGCTTTATTCAATTCAAATTTAACATTAAACCCTAATTCATAATCAATAACTTTATTATCCAAAATTCCTAAGGGCGAATAGCTTCCTTTTCCGACATCTGAACCAAACCATACTGGCTTCCCTGAACGTAACACATTAATTGAAAGTTGTTTCATCGTTTCAATTGAAATATTCACATAACGAATTGGAAAACCTCCTTGAATGTTGCCAAGGTATTCAACAGTATAAAGACGGTTATAAGAATTACGAGGATCATTTATAAGCGACAAAGTTTCGGTTGCCTACGTTGAGATGATTATTATACAGTATTAAAGTCCATTTAAAAAAAAATTCTGCTTGGAAATTATTAGCACGCGTGATATTCCCCAATATTTACCTGGTATCCAATAATATTTTGATAAAAACTCTTTGGAGTTAAACCTGGGTGATTATGATATTTTCCATTTTTATCCCTAAAGGTCCAATCAAATTTTTTTGGAGGTTCACCAAGTGAAATAGCAATAATCCTGTAGATTTCTTCCATCATACTAATCTTTATACATCTCAAGGTATTACGATCCTTTCCAGCATTGTGTAATTCACGTAATTGATATGCAAAATCACGCAATTTAGTTGTCACCAACCAATTAAGTTTTGATGAATTCGAAGAATTATAACTTTCGGGAAAAGCCTAAAAACAAAAAATTTATCAATGTCTTAATTATTTGTGGATCTCAATAATGTGTTTCATGACTTACAGATTTTGGCACTACACCATATTTCTCCAAAATGTTAATGACCTATTTATTATAAATTAAATGCAAATATAAATATTAAAGATAAGAAGGAAAATTCACAAAATACATGACATACCATATCCCATTGACCTCCATCGTTGACTGGTTCCTGAATTAAATATTGAATTAAACGAGAATCAATATCTTCGTCGGCCAATTCAATAATATTTTCAAGGAACCCTATCAAAAACAAAACAGAATATATCGGGTTAGAAGAAAAGGTATGACGCGAAAATTTGATTTTTTTTATCAATTATCCTTTAAATGATATTATATGTCACGTGGACAGTATAAGCTCGTGTATCAAATATAATTATATAAACTCCAATCCTTACAATTCGCCTTTTCCAATTTATCATAAAAGAATAAGAAAGGTTGGGACAATTCAAAATCTTCCAACTTATATCTAAAAATAAAAAAATAAATAAATAATTTTATATAAAAATAACGCAGAAACGTTGCTTACTTTTTCATAATAATCAAACGCATAACATTGGTTGCAGCAAATAACCAACAACGACCAGAAGATTTTTGATTAGTAGATTTGCCTTCCAATTCAATGTTCTCAGAAAATACATGAATGTCATTTATGGTGATCTAAAAGGAGTCATCATGTGATCAATGGATAAAGCAAAACAAACACTTTTTTTGCAATAACAAATTTACCTCTCGATTCAACAAAATTTTGCTAAAATCATTACCAGAAATAGCATTTAAAGCTAACAAATTCTTTGCATCGCTATTAAATTTATCGCTGAAAAAAAAAATAAAGAATTGAAAAAATTAAATATGATTCTAAACTGATAACGACATCAGGAAGTCAATAATTTACATACGAAAACTTGTCAAGAAGTTCTTCCTTCAAACCTGAGTTTGAATGTTCAACATATTGTTCGTCATAATTTAAATATTTTATTGTGTACTTGTTTTTCTCATTATACTTATCAGAATCTTTAAAGTTTTTAAAATTAAGGGAAGTAGCACGTCTTTTATTTAAGCTAATAGAACGTGAATTTTGTTGACCCATTTTTTTTTTGTAATAAAAAAGAAAGCTGAGAGCTTTGACTTGGGATACAAATATTCACATCGTGACTCTTATCTTTAATAAGTTGTGAACAAATAAGGAAAACGAAATAATTTCTTTATCAGTCATGTGGCAAAATTTGTTGTTACATGTGATTTTGCCTTCCGCATAATCATAAAGATCCTGTTTTCTATGATACCAAATCATTAGAAATATGATATTCTATATTTGAATGTTATATAATAAGAATTCTTTAAGAAATTTTGAAATACTTTTTTAAATATGAATATATAATCACTAAAAATCATTTGCGAAAATCACAAATACTAAATGATTTAGGATTATGATAAAGGATTAGACAAATGGGTTGTGATCTAAGAAAATCAGGTTCTGAGAAATTTTTGACTAAAATTAATGACTTATTACATTTTGGTCTAAATGTAATAAAAATTAAAATGCCAATTTTGATAAAAAATTCTCAGAACTTGATTTTCTTAGATCACAACCCAAATCCTTTAAACCAAATACTGTTAGATAGTTGCGTTAATTTTAATAAAATTTATATATAATAATTTAAAAATTAAAATTATATCCGAATTTTTTATTTTTAATAATTTTATATAATTTATTCATACATTTAAGTTATAATTATATAAATATTTATTCCACGTTTAGTTTTTAAAGATATTTGATATAATAATAATTCAATTATTTGATGATCTTTTCATTCTGCGAATCTAACGGATCAGAATCTAGTGTAGCTGGAATTTGCTAGAACAAATTTCAGATCGCGTGGCAATTTTGCCCGAAACTTCGTTCTTTAACAATACCCTATAAAATTAGATTTCCTTGTTTTTTTTTTTTCTTTTTCACTACCAATTATAAAAAATCAAGAAAAAATATGCCAATTTGCGTTCATAAAGGTTGTGAAAAACCATATGAAGAAGAAGAAAATGATGATAATGCTTGTCTTTATCATCCATCACCACCAATCTTTCATGAAGGTAAATTAAATTTTTTTTTTTTTAATTATTCTTTTAAAATAATTTTTAGGTTTATATTACCTTTATCAATCGATCTTCTTTATTCATAGGATTAAAGGGATGGCAATGTTGTAGCCGTCGTGTTACAACATTCGATGAATTCCTTGCGATACCTGGATGTACACGAGGGTAAATGTTAAGTTGAACCAAGACAGGAATTGCATCGATTATTCAATTAACTGGGATGTTTATCTGTGTTAATTAGACGACATACAGATCAGTTAGAGAAACCTCCGGAGGATACAACTGTTACTACTACATTGGAACCAAAAGTTCCCGTACCTTCCACGCAGACTGCTACACGTATTGAGAATGGTATAGAGATATATGACTCCGGGCCAAAGATTCCATACGCTCAACCAACCCCCCAGACTATTACCGAGAAACCTAAATCTAAACCCGTACCTATTGAGAAAGAACCGGAAGAGGATGATTTAAGTATTCCTGTAGTTCCAGGCACAATATGTAAGAGGTCTTCATGTGGTAAAAAATATGTGGATGATGCAACAAGTCGAGATTTAGGACCAGAGGCCGAATGTGTTTATCATCCTGGTACTCCAATCTTTCATGAAGGTAGTAAAGGTAATGATAATTTATTTATTAATATTGATCGTATGCTTATTTGCAATTCTTACGTAATAAAAAATATTTTTCTTTAAAATAGGTTGGAGTTGCTGTTCTAGAAAAGTGCTAGAATTTGAAGAATTTTTAAAGATAAAAGGATGTAAGAAGGGAAAGCATTTGTTTGTTGGATCTGGTAACAATGATGTGAGTACCAATAAGTGGTAAAAATATTTATATTCAACATGCATTAATTTTATCTTTTTTTTAATTATTAGACAAAGGTTGAGGAGGAGGTGCAATGTAGACATGATTGGTAAGCCTTAATTAATAATTATTAGATGATTTCCTAAATAAACTAAGACTTCGTCAATTACATTTGACAACAGGTATCAAACTCCAACACATGTCATTTTGTCAATATTTGCAAAGAAGGTAGACAAGCAACACTCCTCTATAATTTTCAACGAACATGAGGTAATTAATTATATCAACCTATTTTTAGTGTGAAAATCCATATTACCTACTCACTTTCCGTCTTTTATTTAATTAAAGTTGAATGTTGATTTGAAAATGCCCGATTCGAAGAGATTTAAAACTACATATGCTTTATATCAATTAATTGAACCAGAAAATTCCAAATACGAGATTCTCACCACTAAAGTAGAATTAAAATTAAAGAAAGGTAAAAAGTTAATGATTAATTTGTTTTTTATTTTTTATTTAATCATGGATTCTAACATTCATTTGAAAAATTTATGGAATATAGCAAATGGTATTTCTTGGCCATCATTGAGATCTGATGAAGATTTGGGACCTGCAACAACATTCGGTGTTCAAGGTGGAGAAGCCACAGTTGGAGGAAAGGAATACACTTTAGCCACAGATTCACCATTATACGCAAACAAATAAGAGATTAGAAAATCTGAAATTAATTTAATACTATATTTAGAAAATTAGCTCTTAGTTAAGTTTATCCTTAATGATTAGACCTTCTAATGCTAAAGCTTGCAATGTCATTGAAACTTCTGCATCCGCTTCTTCATCTTCATCTTCAATCACCTCATCCCTTTCATATTCAGTTATTGTATTAGTTGATTCTAATAAATCTCCTAATCGATCATCTTATAGAATTCAAAATTAATATTTTTATTTATGAACCTTTAAAATAATAAATAAATAAATCTTTGTAATACTTACTTCCAGCCCTTTTTCTATTGTCATCGATTTCAATATCACTTTTCTTTTTTTGTGATTCTAATGGTTCAACAATTTTTGGATCCAAAAATTTCAATTTTAATGTTGGGTGTTTATTAAAAGTGACGTGACCTCCCCATAACCACTGTGGTATTTTACGTGGAATTTCTATTTCAGCAGAAAATTTTTCTACGAATTCACTCTCTTCTGTTGAAATCACTCCATCTCGAAGGTATCTATAATATTAAATAAATAAAAAAAAAAAATACAAATAGTAATTATGTAATGACGTGCCTATCAAATCGTCCAATTAACTTATTTACCTTAAGAATTCACTCATTGCTGAAGGTATACTCCACATTTGTAATTTTCTTAGACAAGCTACAACCAATCCTGTAACATTCGCACCATCTGAACAATGTATGAATATCGGTAAATTTGATGGATCTATTATTATCTATAAAAAAAAATTAATATTAAAAAATGTGAATGAAAAATGAAAAAAAATTATAACCAACCTGTAATGTTTGAACAGCTTTATTATAATTTAACGGAACATTGTCTTTAGCTCTATTAACTTGTAAATGTATACTTTTTATTTTTTCATTTTGACAAAATTCTAGGAGTTCGGACACCTGCTGTTCAGGTATAAGTGAAAGTATTGTTTTAAGTTTTAATCTAATAAAATCATATTTAATTTACAATGAAAATAAATATATAAGAAACAATGGAATAATCGTTCATAAATAGTTGTGTGAAAAACAAACACCTTTTTAGAAAGCGATAATTTCTATTTTTCGGATATGCTCCACGATATACTTCGTTTTCAACTATAGCGTATCTAAAAGGTGGTATTAAAGGTGAAACCATGATTGAATTTAAGCAAAAAATTTTATAATATTGACTAATTTTAAATCTGTTATGCATGCGACAAATCTGTTATGCATAAATTGCTTGATTTGCAACTTTATTTCTGGAATAAATTTGACTTTACACGTGACTTGAAAATTACATTTTAATATAAACTTTTTTTTCTCGTGAAGCTAATATATACATAATTTTTCAAAAAAAAAAAATACCAATAATGTATTTAAAAAAAAAAATTTCAAATGTCTAAATTTTACTATATACGTAATTTGTAAATTTAATCCAATTCTAACCTGTCCCCACCATCTTCATCCCCATCAACAGCCATTTCATTATCATCTATTGCGTGATTTCTTACCACCACAATATCTGCGTTATTAATTGACGTAGAAACTTGCGCTACTTCTCCGCTTCTTATTCCACCATCTATTAAGAGTTTATTGAAGATATGAATAAAATAAAATCACAAAAAAAAATTAAACGTAATTATAATGACTTACCAATTAAAAGTCTACTCAATGGATTCAAGATCTTATTTTTAATTAACCTGTTTATTGGACGAGCGCCATATACAGGATCATATCCATTTTCTGATAGCCATTTGAGTGCATTTTGATCTACATCTAACTTGATACGTCTATCTTCTAAACGTTGATTCAATCTATCTAATTGAACGTTGACAATCTTCTCGATATCTAGATTTTTGTTTAGAAACTGTTAAAATAATAATTTTACATAGATGAATGGATAAAAAATATTTGACTTACGTTGAACGCCGAGTGGCGTAAAGATAATTATATCATCCAATCGATTCAAGAATTCCGGTCGGAAATGCCTTTTCACATCACTCATTACTGCATCTTTAATTTTATCATTAATTACGTCCGATGTGATGCCTTGAAGGTGATAATACCCTAAATTACTATTGAAAAAGAAATTTATTTATGTAATGTTATGAAACAAAAATGTCGAAATTTGATATTATATATATCGCATATACCTTGTCAATATGATTACAGTATTACTAAAGTCAACGTGACGACCTTGACCGTCTGTTAAACGACCATCATCTAATACTTGCAAGAGTATATTAAGAACTTGAGTATTTGCTTTCTCAACTTCATCAAATAAGATTACACAATAAGGTCTTCTTCTAACTGACTCCGTCAATTGACCCCCTTCTTCATGGCCAACATAACCAGGAGGTGCTCCTATGAGGCGCGCCACTGAATGACTAAAAAATAATAATAAAAAATCTTATTATTTTGAATTCAGAAATATTTTGATTGTAAATATTTATTTACCTTTCCATGTATTCCGACATATCGATACGAATTATAAATTTCTCATCATCGAAAAGTTCCTGAGCCAAAGCTTTACTCAGTTCAGTTTTACCAACACCAGTCGGTCCAAGGAATAAGAAACTTCCAAGAGGTTGATTCTCGCGCGCTAAACCAGCCCGACTTCTTAAGACGGCATTAGCGACCGCATCAACGGCTTCATTTTGACCAATCACTCTTTTATGTAGTGAATCAGAAAGTGTAAGCAACCTCTCTGCTTGTGATTTAGAAAGACGTGATACTGGAATACCTGTCCATCTTGACACAACTTCATTAATTTGTTCCGGACAAACTGTATCCGTTAATAAATTATTTTCTGTAATATTAGGATTAGAGACCCTTTCTTCATCTTGCTTAACCTTTTGATCTTGTAATTCTTGAATACGATTCTCTACTTCAGGAATGGCATAGTATCTAAGATCAGCAGCCATCGGTATATCAGCACGCCTTTCAGCATCATCGGCTTTTGCTCTTAATTCATCCAATTTTTGTTTAAGTTGCCTAATATAATCTAATCGACTCTTATCATGCTCATATCTCGCCTTAAGCGGACGTAATTGTTCTTGAATTTCAGCCATTTCTTCTTTGACTTTTTGAAGCCTTTGACGACTAGGTTCATCCTTTTCTTTTTCAAGAGCAGCAGCTTCAACTTCAAGTTGAAGGTGTCGACGTTCTAATTGATCAATAATTTCGGGCCTTGAATCAAGTTGAACTCTAGTATTTGCACAAGCCTCATCCATTAAATCGATGGCTTTATCAGGTAAAAACCGATTGGTAATGTATCGTGATGATAATTGTGCTGCGGCTACAAGAGCTGCGTCAGCAATTTTTACACCATGATGAGTTTCATAACGTTCTTTCAATCCTCTTAAGATACTAATAGTATCCATAACGGATGGTTCTCCTACCAATACTTGTTGGAAACGACGTTCGAATGCTGCATCTTTTTCAACATATTTTCTATATTCATCTAATGTAGTCGCTCCAATACATCGTAACTCTCCACGAGCCAACATTGGTTTAAGAATATTAGCTGCGTCCATCGAACCTTCTGCTTTACCAGCTCCCAACACCAAATGGATTTCATCAATAAACAAGATAATTCCTTCTTCCGATTCTTTTATTTCTTTTAGTAAATCTTTTAGTCTTTCTTCAAATTCACCACGATATTTTGCGCCAGCTTTCATGGAAAAAAAAATTTTTTTTTAGTGTAATTGTTTTCGATGACGCAGACAAATCCTAAAATTTTACGTACCAATAAGTGCTCCCATATCTAGGGAGAATAATTTTGCGTCTAGAGATCGTGGAACATCTTTCCTTACAATTCTTTGCGCAAGACCTTCCACAATAGCCGTTTTACCAACACCTGGCTCACCAATTAATACCGGATTATTCTATACAAAATCGAATGTTAGAAATAATAAAATTTAGGAAATAAAAAAGTATGAAGCCAAAATGATAAACCTTCGTTCTTCGGGATAAAACACGAATCACTCGACGTATTTCGTCATCCCTGCCAATAACTGGATCAAGTTTTCCTAACTTTGCCAATTCAATTAAATCAACCGCATATTTACTTAAGGCTTGATAATTTTCATCACCACTCTTTGATTCAACGCGACGATTTCTAATATAAAAAATGTCAATATTATTATAAAATCATACCAATGGTAATGATGTAAACTTATTTTCCCAAGACTTACCCTCTCACTTGCGTTATGGCAATTTCTAAAGCTTTCTTTGTGACACCAGAATCCTTTAAAGCTTGTAAAGATTGTGGATCGTCGGCTAACGCCAAAATTAAATGATCTTGGGATATATAGCTATCCTTCTGACGTTGTTGAATATCATGTGCACCACGGATAATTTTACTAGCTTGAGGACTTAATGATACCTCAGATGGTGGCGGATCTTGTGAAGGAGCTCTTACTACCAACTTCATAAACGCTCTTACAGCTAAAGACGCGTCACCGCCAGCTTTATTTATTATGTTTTTAAATAATGATTCACCCGTTACATCATCTAATAATGCGCATGCGATATGAGCTGGAATTAATTGAACGTGTGCATATTCTTGAGCTATTTGATATGCAGCTGCAATAGTCTTCTCCGCTTTATCAGTAAATTTGTAGTTATTCATGATTAAAAAATTGATCTATTTTGACTCGGATGAAGTTTTTTGCCGCAGTAATTTAGTCAATTGCGCCGCAGAATGTCGATTTTTTTCTGTATAGATAAATTCCTAAAATCTAATAATGATTGAAACAATTTCCCAAATATTTTATTACTTTTGTATTATTTTGTTGTAAAAGGTAAAGTGAGAAAAGTATCAAGGAGTTTCGATAGGAGATTGACCTTTTATATACCATTTTTATCATGATGTCATGTTTGATGAATTGATCATGTGAAAATGTAAATATTAGTAATACATACGACTTTAAGCTTCGAGTAAAATCCAGGTTGAAGATCGGGTCTATTCCCTTTCTATAACGATACTATCAAGCTTGGATGTGAATTTTCGCTAATTAGAACATAATAAATGACCATATGATTCCTTCATTACAAAGTTTCATTTAACGAAAAAAAAAAAGATTGAAAATTTGCTGTGCTACCTTTTTTACTAAATTTGTAAATTCCTTTTGTTAATTTTGTTTAGTTTGTTCTTTTTTTCTTAATTAACCTTTTTAGCCTTTTTGGTTTTTGGCTTTTTGGTGTCATACGATAAATTTTCCGTTTTTTATAAATGTTGCTTTGCTTTGCTTTGCTATATGCTATTGATATTTGCTTTCGCGATGCTATTTTGCTAAATGCCTCCACTTTTTTTTCTTCGTAAAAAGGTTCTTTATATAGAAAGTATATTTGATCTGAATAATTTAATGAATTGGATTTATAGTTTTGTACTAAAAATAGTACATTTTGTAATATTCATAAATAATTTTAATATTTAAAAATCAATATATATATTGCTTTATTCAAAAAATATAAATTTTATTTTTAATTTTAAAAAATTATCATTCTTTAGCAATATGAGTATACTAAATTTAGTATACGATTAAAATTTATCAGGTGACTCATTAAAAAAAATTAAAATATGATTTTAGAAAATGATACAATAAACAAACCTTGGGTAATGAATAAAAAAATCAAATGTATATGTCGGGTTCAACATTCCTTGTGAAATTGTACAACTACAACAGGTAGTTGTACGTTTATGACAATTTATACATCGGCATTGAACATATTTACCTTTAAGTTTTAGATCACTACTAAGGTTGGTGAGAAGATGTTCAAAATTATCCGAATCTTATTTTCGTCTTTTTTTAGTTCGATCAGTAATTGTATTGTTTGAATAACAATTGAAGATCAATTTTGCTAATTGCTTGCAAAAATCGATGTGTTTCATATTTCTTTTTCCTGGAACAAATCTACAATATGCAGAGAAGCTATTTGCTTCTGCAACTGTAAGATAGAAGGCAAAAATACGATCTGTAGAGCGTTTTGATCCAAGAATGTCATGATAAGAAAGTGAATTATCATGCAAAATATTAAGTATGTCTACGGCTGATCTAAGTTCATTATACTCATCAAACACAACAGGTTGACAGAATGTTATACTGCCATAACCCTTAAAATATCGATTCACTTCTATTCTACGAATTATTGTAGAACAACTGGAAAAAAGTATGATCTCTTTGCGATCACGAATTGAATATACAGTTAAGTCAACATCATTCATTTTGCAAACTCAACTAGCGGATGATCCATATGTATCTTCAAGTTAGGGTTGGTAAAAGTCCTAATTGATCCTAATTGGTCCTGATTAATTTTAAAAAAATTATTAGTTTTAAAGATTAAATTTTTTTAAATCTTATCATTATATTCAATTTTTTAATTAAAGTTAATTATTAAAATAAGTTTAAGCTTTCTTTTTAAAATTTAAAATATCTTTAAAATTTTAGATTTAGGACCTATGTCCTAGAACCAGGTCTTAAATTAAGTATATTTATTATTTTTAAAGAATTTTTTTATTTTAAATGAATAAAATAATTGATATATAATAATTATTAAAAAGATTAATTTATTATTAAAAAATTTAATTAATAGTATATAATTAAAATTATCTTTAAATTCTTTAAGACCAATTAGGATCTATTAAGACTTTTACCAACCCTATATGGGGTGTTTTACAAAAAATAAGATTGGGCCTTTAATTCAAGTCTCTGGTAGAATTACAGGTTCTGTATATAAAGAAGTTTTAAAAAATAATCTTTTACCCTTTATTGATGAGTTGGAAACTAATTTAGAGTATATTTTTCAAGATGATAATGCTCCTGTCTATCAGACAAAAGTGGTTAAGGAATGGATAGAAGAAAATGAAATAACAAATATTTTATGGTCTGCACAGTCACCTGACCTTAATCCAATCGAGCATTTATGGGATGTTTTGAAAAGAAAGGTTCGTAAACATAAGCCACATCCAAAAAATCTTAATGAATTAATGGTTATTTTGGAGGAAAAATAGTATGAAATTGAACCAGAAATTTTAGAAAATTTAGTAGAAAGTATGCCAAGAAGGGTTCAAGCTATAATAGATAGCAATAGCAATCTGACTAAATATTAATATTATAAATAAAAAATTTGTTTTTATGAATAAAATAAAAAAAAATTTATTTAAATTCACTTATTAATTTTTTTTAAAATTAAAAAATTAAAATAGGTCATTAAATTTAAAAGTTGCGATAAATTTTTTTGGTCCAATACTTTTGATCGGAAGTGTATCTCAACTCTTTGCATCTGCACGTGATCTAATGACAAATATCTTTAAGGAAGAGCTTTGAGAAAAAGATCAAATAAAATTAGCATTGTCATATATACCACATATGTATCATACAAATATAAAGGTAATAATGATATTACTGATCAAGTAATCTATAATACAAAATATTATAATGCTTATCATAAAGGAAAAATACATGTAGTTCTTTCAGAATATGACATAGATGAGCATATAACAAAGTCAGCTGAGAGATTGATGAGTATATTCAAGAATATTTAAAAAAGGTTCTAGCAAAATTCTTATCTGATTAGAAACAATATTTATTGAGACATATACTTATTGATAAATAATAGAAGGATCTTACATCCCTATTTCCAAAAATTTGTGAACACAAAGTGTATAATCAATCCAAATAATTTAAATATTATAGATCTAGAAACAGATAAGCTAACAGACAATTGTTTCAAAGGCAGTGTTGTCATGAGACATTTTTGGGACATAGTCTGGGACATTGGAACTTAATGTGAGATATTTTAGGACATAGTGTAGGATAGTCTCAAAATGTTTGGAACATCGAAAATATACATCATTGCTCAAAGGTATATTAGGATGCTATTTCACAGATAAGGCAGGTATTACAGATTATCTATGTATATTTAAAAAGATCAAGGAAATGAATCCTGAAATTCTTATCAATATCTGAGAATAAAAAGAGGAATTGGTTACTTTCAAGTTTATAGTTTATAGCAAAAACTACGATAGACTATATATCATTCATTTAATAGCCCTTACAGATATTAGCAAAAATGAGAATATAGATAAGTATAGGTAAAAGAATTACTTTTTCTAGATAAAAAATCATGATAGATTAGTATTCAGAAATACAATTCCTAGTGAAAAAAATGGCAAAGACAGTTTTCTACGGTATATATAAACTTTATTTTTAATGTTAATTTTTTTTATTTAAAAGAATAATACTAATGGAACATTTTTTATTAATTAATTAATATTTTGTATACCCTTCTTCTGCATTGATACATGCTTGAATCCAGTTCAGCATGCTATTAATGCATTGAAGTAATATATTGTCATTGAGATCGTCCCATTCCTGCTAGATTATATTAAGAAAAACATCACAAGTAATTTTTTTTTACCATATTCTTAATCCTTTTTTTCCACCTTTCCCTTTAATATAGTCCATACATTTTCGATAGGATTCAAGTCTGAGCTGTATAAAGACCAAGAAAGAACTCTTCCTGAAAGATGTTTTCTAAGTCATGCTGAACATTTTTTAAGCAGTGTTTTAGATCATTATCTTGTTAGAAGATCCAATTGTGACTGAATAATATTATCGCATTGTATTACAAATAATCATCTAGGATGTTTCAGTACAAATGACTAGGGTTCCTCAAAATCGAATCAAATCAAATATTTAAGCAATTTGAATTTAATTTGATTTTTTCGAATCAAATCAAATCAAATTAAATTGAACTCAAATATTTGATCGAATCAATTTAAATCGATTTAAATTTGATCGAATCGAATCGAATTAATCAAATCAAATCAAAAATCAAATATAAATTCTTTTTAATTTTTACAATGATATATTAAAATAAAGTTATTCTAAAATTTTAATTAAGAAAATTATTAGTAATTACACTAAAAAATTTTAACGATAGCTTTTACAAAGTAAGTTTAGTAACAGGTAAAATTTTACTATTAAACTTAGTAAAATAACTCCGCAGTTTTAGTTTTACTAAGAAAACTTAGTAATAATCGCTATTGTGACTTCAGTTTTACTAAGAAAACTTAGTAATAATCGCCATTGCAGCTTTGGTTTTATTAAGAAAACCTAGTAATAACTGCTGTTACAGTTAATTCTTTATGTTACTTAAATGTTATAAGCGGACAGATAATATATATAGTAAGCAGAAGGTTTAATTTATAGTTGAGATTAGGTAAAATCTAGGTATCGGTAATTTATTTGATATATACTAACAAATGAGTACTGCCTCAAACATCGGCACTTCTGTACTGTACAAATGTTCTAAATAATCAAACTAAACTAATCTAGACTATTCCTATAAGTCTTTACTTCAGTGAACTCAGTGAACTCCTATAGACTTTCTGAATCTCCAAGGATTCTCAACTCATATTTATATAAAATAAAATATATATAATCATTAACAATGTTAAATAAATAAACTAAATATAATTAATAAACCAAGTTAAATAAATAAACTAAAGAAAATAAAGAAAATAAATAAACTAAGTTAACTAAATAAACAAGGTAGATGACGTAAATAAGGTTAATAAGGTTAATATAGTTTTTAAGGATCTACATTAGGAAGATTATCCTAATGATTTTTCATATAATACTGCCATCTCGGCTTCATAACAATTTTATTAGTAAAAAACATTTCCAAAGCCGTTGAGGCATTTTTTTTACTAGGTTTCTTAGTAAAAAACATATTTGAAGTTGTAAAGGCGTTTTTACTATATTTTCTTAGTAAAATAGTGTCTCCGAAACTGTAAAGGCATTTTTTACTATGTTTGCTTAGCAAAAAAAGCATTTCTGAAGCTGTGAAGGCACTTTTTGCTATAGTTTTCTTAGTAAAAAAGTCATTTCTGAAGCTGTAGAGGCGTTTTTTACTATAGTTTCTTAGTAAGAGACACTCCTAAAACTTTGAAGATGGCTTTACTATTGATTCAAATCAAATAAAATATTTGAATAACTTGATTTAAATATGATCTAATCAAATCAAACATTAATTTAGATTTAATCAAATAAATCATTCTTTGATTTGAATTTGATCGAATCAAATCAAATTGCACTAATAGTTAAAACTTTTTGAAAGTAATACTCTTATTCCTGATTCTGAGGATTTAACATCTTAAGAAGTGACTAAACCTAACAAATTTTAATTATCAAAACAAGTATCAGAAAAACATCTAATATATAATGATTTTAAGACATATATTTTATTAAGTTATTTGACTAATAGTGAGTTTTAGTTTTAAATGTATTAAATTACTTATAACTTTATTAATAATAGGGATAGTGATTTAAATTCATGTCAAACTGTATCTCAAAGATCTCTTCAAAATAGGAATACCACGAATCCAAATATTAATGAAGACGAAAAACATTAAATTGAGGAAGAATCTACCAAACTTGTCAAAAAAAATAATATACTAAGCGAAAAGTCCCAACTGTTTAAAAGGATTAAAACTGTATATGTATATCTTAACTTTATTTACGTTAATTATATATTCAATTTTTATTCATAATTTAACATATTATTTGTTTATATTGTTATCCAACTAATGATTAAGCGGACTAAATCAAGTAATCAATTAAGTAGTAGCAAGATTTAGTTCAATTTTTATTAAGTTTTGAGAGAGACATTGGTTAAATTCAGGTTACCGTTGACTTCAGTATTTTTCATGATTAAGTTTTAGAATTGGCAAGTATGACGACTTCCAATTCATCACGTAAGACAAGTAATTTTCTTTAATGTAGAAAATAGTAAGGCAAAAATGAGAGTCCTGGGACAAAATTCCAAAATAGTACTCAGAAAGATTCCTGCTTGCCTACAAATTAATTCTAGCTATATGAATCAAATTATCAAATTTAAACCTCTAGCGTGATTTGACTAAAATCTAGATAACGATTTCGATCTTGGTTAGGAATTAACCTTCAGATATCAAGAATTATACTATTTGATATAGCTATTCTAGCCTAATTTTAATCTCAAATAATATATCAAAAAATTTTTACTATTCTGATTGCCTTTAGAGTCCTAGTGAAAATCAAGGAATAAAGTGACGCGATTTGAGCTGGGCCTGACATTGCAAACCCAAATTTAATAATAACTTTTATGCTATTCTGCTTGCCTCTGGAGGGCCCAGCAAAAATCAAGGAATAAAGTGACGTGATTTGAGCTGGGCCTGACCATGCAAGCCTAAAATGCATATCATATTTCATGATATCCTAAAATTAATTCTAAAGTTGATTTATTATCAGCTAGCAATACTAAAAATTTACACCTATGCACAGCATAGGTGTAAATTTTTGAATGTATACAAGAAAGTCTAAAAGCTCTAGATCAAGTTCTAATATACTAATAATTTCTTGATATTCAGTAAACCATTCTTAAGCCATTTCTTTTACATAAAGCTAGGATTACTAAATTACACCTTAGGTATAAAAAAAATTGGGTTAGATGTAAACTTTTGAATGTGTACAAGAAAGTCTAAAAGCTCTAGATCAAATTCTAGTATACTAATAATTTCTTGATATTCAATAAACCATTCTTAAGCTATTTCCTTTACATAAAGCTAAGGTTGCTAAATTACACCTAAGGTGTAAATTTTTCGTATGTCTTAGTACTAGATGTAAAATTTTCAACCCTAATTTGCCTTCTAATAAGTACCTATGGCTCTATCCCGAAACCTATTAATATACTGGGTCACATAATAACCACTAGCATGTTTTCTACAAAGGCCAGGCTTAGAGCTAGTCAGCATACCATAAACCGGAGTTAGCTATTAAATAATTTATTTTAAACAAAAGTTTTGTACTATTAATACAAACAACTGAAAGCATATACATATATCTAAAATGATTTCATCATGTCCTCGACGTGGAAAGGATAACTTTAAAAAGTCTCGTGATAGGACAAATCATCTTAATAGGAAGTTTAAGTGTAAGCAATTAAATCCTATTCATCAATCAACACATTTTTCACCATCTAGACCAAAATCACCTACTCCAATAGACCATACCCAAGGAAAGGATCGAAGAAAGGAGAAGCCAAAAGTGGTTGTTTCTAGTGTAGTTAAACAACAAGACGCCCAGAAGGAACCTAGTGTGATTGAGTGATAAGATACTCAGAGGGAAGATGTTTAAGAGAGCAAGAATACTCAAGAAAAACTTGTGAAGCAATTAAGTGATATAGAACTTCTTAAGGAGCTGGGTATGATAGAAGAAGCACAAACAGAAAGGATGACAAAGCAGATTAAAGGGTTAACTATATTTGGTAATTCAGAAAGCCATACTCTAGAAGGTGATATATATTTTGAAGAAAAAAGAGTTGGAGATCCAAATAGATCATATAGAAATCTGCAATTATTAAGCATATAGGAAGCCATAGTTCCTAAAATGGCAAACCCAGCATATACTTTTAATGATATAATAAATCGAGAAGATTATGCTGAAGTTTCATATATACTTCAACTAATAGCATCAGCTCGAGAAGAAATTACAAGAGTTCTTCAAATAGAGCTTAATAGAAAGGATCAGATAAAATTAGCATTAGTCATATACTATAAATACTATAAAATAGAAGAGGATAAAATCACCAAAGAAAAATATATACATTTACTGAAAAATATCATAGAGGAGAGATACACCAAATTCTCTCTGAAAATGGTATAGATGAACATTTAATTCATTCTGGTTCAGAAATAGATAAGAAAATTGATGAGTTTCTTGCTAATAGATCTGGTTGGTACTGTATAGCACTGCATATAGTATCCCCCTAAAAAAGTATCTCCCTTAATTAGTATCAAGATACTATTCAATTGTAAATGCTGATTTTTTTGAGAAGTACACTGGTATTAATCAAAATATTCATTTATTATATTTATTGAATGTTTATAAAAAAAATTTCATTTACATTACTTAATCAAAATTAAATTCACTAATCATCCCATACATTAGCATGATTTATTTCTTGTACATCATAATAATCATCAACATTTTCTTCTCTTTGATCTACATTATTTATTTCTATCCTACCATTTGATTGACCTGATTGTCCAAGATGATTATAATCAAAGATTAATTCATCTTCAGTTCCATCGCGTTTATTAGAGATGCCACAACATTTAAAAGCTCTTTGAATTAAATTAACATCAATAGCATTCCATGAATTATTAATCCAATTTACTATAGTTTCATATGAAGGTCTTTTGATATTACCAGCAGGTGTTAATTCTTTAACAGAATCAGCCATCCAATTGTTATAATTTCATCGCATCTATAAAATAAGATAAAAAAATAAAAATGATTATTAAATTATTTTTTAAAAATCAATATACATTAAGTTTCTTACCTTTGTTTTAAATGATTTATTTACTAAACATCTAAAGGATGTAGGTGAGATGTTAATCCTCCAGGAATAATAGCAATATTAGTATTTTTTCACTAAAACACCTTTTTACAGAATTAACAAGATGTGCAGAAAATGAGTCTAAAACTAGTAATGATTGTGGATTTTAAAGTCTTGCACGCTTAATCCAAACATTTTCAATTCAAGAAAGCATCTCATTTTCATTCATCCATCCAGTTGGATTAGCTCAGACAATAATTTCTTGTGAAAAATTACCTCGCAGAATTTTTTTAAGTTTGAAAATTACAAGAGGAGAAAGTTTGGTTCCATCAGCCATACAAGTTAATACTACTGTAAAATTTGATTTTTCATGTCCTGTTGTACAAATGCTAACAGATTGCATTCCTGTTTCATCAATAGTAGTATTACTTGGCAGATCAAATATCATTGGAGTTTCATCCATATTATCAATTAATGTTAAAGGATAATCATGCTGAATGCATCTATACATAATAAATGCTAAAAATTCCTGCTGCTTTTCATTTAAATTATCTGGTAATGTTGTGCAATAGTAGTATGACGTCAATTACTCAAATTGTTGCGACTCATTAAACCATCTACCCACTTGTTGCTAAAAGCAAAAGATTGAATATTAGGATATGTGGATTGCCATTAACTTTGTTGTTCAAATGCTTTGCCTTTTATTTGTATTATACTTCGCAAAACTGTTTGTTGATTATTTCTTCTCTCTTTTATCCATTCAACTAAAGCAGTTTCTAAAGCAGGGTATTTTGGAGGTGAACCTTTATTTAAACAGTTTACACCTGGTTGAGCTTTTAAAAGTTGTGGTTTTTTAGATATCCAGTCTCGAAGTTGCTTTGTTTCAATATTAAATTTAGCCGCGGTCTTGTTTTTACTATGCCTATTTTCATAATATAAAATAACTGCTATTTTTTCACGCACATTCCATTGTCTTTGTATCTTTTCTGTTACAGTTGCATGATTTGTTCTTTTATTTACATGTGGACCCATTAATAAAAAGTTAAATAATAGTTTAAGTTGTGTAAGTTGTAAAGTTGAAAAAATATGACGTGAAAAAAATTATGAATAAAAAATTGCGTATGCTATTTAACGAAAAATTTAATGATGATCATTTGATCATTTGAATCGTGAATTATTAAAATATAGAAAATGAATAAAACGAATTATTTAAAATGTTAGATATAGCGATAGTTTTTGTTAAATTTAATAATATTTATTATTTAATGTTAAAAATATTATTTAATAATAAAAAATGCTTAAAAAACTTATTTGAATACTTAAAACAAAGTATTGAAGTCATTTTTAAAAAAGAAATTATTTATTTCGAAGTTTTAAAACTTGAAATGCTGAGAAAGAAAAAAAGTTTTATTTTTTTATTTTTTTCTAACCTTTACAATAGATGATCTAGTTACACTATAATAATAATTAGTACCCTCCTAGTATAGTACTTTACCCTTATACAGTACCCCTAGGGGTACTATTCGAGCTAACCCAATTTTTTGATTAAGACCGGGAATACTGTATGCAGTGCTATACGGTATTTAATTCGAATTGATAAGGTATTTATTGAGTCATATACACTTTATCGAGCTCTTGAAGGATCTTATATCCCTACACCAAAAAAGCTCGCAAATACCAAGTGTACCATTAATCCTGATAATTATATGCTTATAGATCCAGAAACAAATAAACCATCTAAAAATTGTCTTCAATGTGCATTAGGTACCTACTTCACTCATCAGGATGGAAATACAGAACATCTTGAACGAATTTTTAGAGCTAAGAAGCTTAAACCCTACTTAGATATTGTTAAGTTAGATAGTATTCTCATGCCGACCTCTATTTGTCTGCGTATATTTAATAAGATTGAGGAGATGAATCCAGATATCTCTATAAATATCTGGGAGTGAAAAGAGGAATCGAGTACATCCCCCAAGTCTGTAGTTTATAGCAAAAACTATGATAGACTGCATATTATTCATTTAATAGCCCTTACAGAAATTAGCAAAAATGAGGATACATGTAAGTATAGGCAAAAGAATCATTTTCTATGGATAAAAAATCATGATGGATTAATGTTCAAAGATATAGCCCATCATAGCATAAGATTTCTTTGCAATTAATGTACATTTAGTTTTCCATCTAAAAAATCTAGAGATCATCATCAAGATTATTGCTTTGGATTAGGCGAAGATTGTCAAAGAATCAAAATGCCAGTGAAGGGAGTCAATGACTTTGAGCAATTCAAAAATTATGGTCAAATGATTAATGCCTATGTGTGATTATAGCTGACTTCAAGAGAGATAACAAGAAATGTGATGAGATATATGGTTATGACTTACAACTCGCAAAAATAATCCACTATATGAGGAACAGGTTAGAGGAATTCATTCAGACATTGAGGAGTTGCTTACTAGGAAGGTTAATAGATATTTTAGAAAAAGGGATCGTCATAAGATTAAAATCGAAGCAAATACTGCCTTTGATGGTTCTAGTATCTTATTCCGACTGGATGGGTTTGAGAAGTAGTTGGAAGAATGTGAGGTTTTGCTAAAACAGAAAGAGATTAATATTAATTAAACTATTGAAACTCAGATTGCAAAGGAACGCAAACATCTAAAAGATGAGTATGATACTTGTAATGATCGCTTAGAAGGTGAATATAATAAATGCATGATAGATATGAAACAGACAGCATATTCCCTTAAACGTCAACTAGAAGACCAGTATAACTTACAGACTAATGATATAATGATATTGAGAAACAATTCAAATCTCGCATCTCTACATTAGAAAAATCTATAGCCATAAAAGATAAGGAGATTGGCAAGTTGTCTGCTTCTATCTCCCAACTTAAAAATGATAAGAATGCTCTGAAAAAAGACTTCGCTTCTGCTAAAAAGACTATTAAAGTATTGGATGGTATTATCTATAGTAAGGATCAGGCAATTATTACTTATAATGAAGGATTACGGAAAATTAATCCTAGCTATATCGATGACACTATAGAACCAACTAGCTTTTATGAAAAAGATGCCAAAGTTTTGTAGGCTAGATAGTGTGATAATGCTTCAGATGATCCTACTATCCGAAAAAAATATACATTCCGCTCATGTGTTTATACGAGTTTTCTAAATACTTCATACCAAAGATAGATGAATAGGTACAGTATTTTTTTCTAAATATGGATTTGATAAACTTTGCATGAGCTTTATATGGGAATTCTTAACTGCGTATGGGCTTGCATGGGATTTTTCAATTGTGCATGGATTTTTTCATAAAAAATGTTACCTATGATTAGCAGGATATTTAAATTCCTTTTCACAATACATACAAGTTCGATCATCTAGTTTTTTTTATAAGTTTTGGCTTCTTCTCTACAGTAAAAACAATACGCTGGGATTTGTGAACAGATATTGGAATAATGATAGTCTTCCCATTTCGGGTTGCTTTGAATTCTCCTCTCACTAAAGGTTCATAACCTACTTGATATTGCCATTGAGTATTGAGAATAATAATGATAATTCTTTTCCATTATTATCATATTCTGTAGGAACGATAGAGAAGTCATCTGTAGCAGTAAGTCTTTTCTCTTTATTACTAATAGTTACAGGAACATTGTTAACAGTCCCAAGGGATTGAGATTGGCTAGCAACCCCCTTAAGCCTGTGAACTTTTTTCCTATCTATTTTGAGTCCCAAATAATTTGCGACATTTTTTGAAACTATTGATGAGTCTGATCCACTATCAATCATAGCCTAGGGTATAGTTATATCTCCCACCTTACAGGTGATAGTTGCAATATTATCGGCATCCTTTATCTGGAGAAAATTTATCTCTAATGGCTTAGGCCAGTATATAGGAATTAGCTGGGAGACGCTTTACATGTCACTTTTTTTTTCAGCTGATCGATACTGATACAGGTCGAATGCTGATAAATCAGGTACTTTCCCAATTGGTCACTATTTTTGATTAGCAATCAATAGATAGAAATCAGTAGATACTACAATCGGGTATAAATCGGTTAATATCATAATCATAATTATTAGGTAGAATTACATAAATCGGGTTTCAGCCCGATTTTATACTTATTTTTAAAAATTTATAACTATATGTTAAATAGTAACAAATCGGGTTCAAGAAAAAAAAACTCTTTCTGCTGATCCGCCCGACCATGCCTTAGCAACGAAAAACACCAAAAAGTTTTAACAATAACCCGAGCAAAAAAGCTCAACGCGGCCGTTCTGGCTCGCCTACAAACGAAAGAGCAACTAAGAAACAACAACTTGATACCCCAGACTTCGCTACACCTATCAACGACAACAAAACTGAAAAAGATACACCAAAAGAAACTGAAATGGAGGTCGACCCAGTTCCTTCAACTTCTAACAACAAAGGCAAACAACCG